CAAAAGGATGATTACGAACAATGGACATAAGGTCAATATCACTTGTCGGGATCTTAAGGATACCCACAAGGTCATCAGCAGAAAACTCAATCTGGGTGTTCTTCACATATGATCTAAGATATATAACATTATCATCAGATGTGTAGGAGGATATATTAGCATAGAAGAGATAAACAAGAAAGGGATAATGAGGTTATTTTTTCTTTTTATCTAAGAGATGATATAGGCCAACATCATTAAGGAGATTAGGAATATTATAGGGCGCAAGTTCATCATAGTTAATAGTCCTACCAGCTAAAATTTTTAGTTTGCACAACTCCCTGTACTTGGGAATAAGATGGGTATTTCTCAGGTAGTCTTCGTAGTGCTCAACATTAGGAAAAGGAACATTATCAGACTTAGATCTTTTCAAAGGAGGCATTTTAAGCAAGAAACCCTAAACCAAGAACAAGACTTAGAAACTTAAAGAGATGGAAGAAGGATATACTCAGCACGATGAAAGATCCAAAGGAGAAGAATAGAGCAGACGCGGGCGACCGGAGATGGAATGGCGGCAGACCGCGAGAACAGAGCTGGGAGATCGGATTTGATGAGAGAATTGGGAACGAATGAAAGAGGAAGGAAGAGGATCGGGTTCTTTAGAGGAAGAGGCAATGGTCCAGATGCGTTCAAGCTAATGATCGATGGTGGATATCGAATCGGGTCAAAGAAGAAATCAAACCAAAACCCAAAACCGAAATAGAGAACGAAAACTGAGTTCAGAATTAACCCTGTACGGTCGACCGCAAAAAATCCAGTGACTAAACTAGAAAACGATTCTTCATACAGTCGACTGCAGATCCACGATCGGTCGACCACAAGAGATTCGGAAACATATTGGGACATGAATTTTTTTTTGAAATATTAAACTTGTTTTATTTTTTAAATAATTTTAAATATGTATATATTAATAATATGTCCAAGAGATCAGTAAATATATTCAATATGTAAACCATAAAAATTTCATTTAAAATTGTAATTTCAAATAACATTTGAAACCATGAATAATCAAAAACAACTAAAACTTATGTTATTTAAGATTTTGAAATTAAGCATATTTTGGTACCCAAATGTTTTTGGTACCAATAGGATTAGGAACATGACCCCTATCATTTAAATCCAATGCCCTAGGGTTATGAATCCGTTTGGGCAAATTTTGTGCACCGATATGGTCAAAAAAAATTGTAAACATGACCCATACAATTGTAATTTGTGCAATGTAAAGGTTTGAATGGTTTGCATTGACCGAAATGGAATGCACGTGGTTCATTTGCAAAAATAGATTTTTCTTTGTAATTATTTTGCAAACGAGAATTTCTTTTCAAATCGAAACAAAACATGGCCAAATGACCAAAACAACCACAATAATCACATTTGTACACATGTTGAATCTAAGGTAGATATTTGTTTTCTCATTTGATTCAACTCGTCATTGTGCATACAAGCATTGCTACTAGAAGTAGGATAAACAAGATTTTTCATCATAGATTTCAACTTATCTACTTCTAACATAGCATCATGTTTTTCATGAAGCAAACTAGCATTTTCAATTCTCAATTTTTTATTGCATTCTTTAAGAATTATATTTTCATTTGCAATAAAATTAAACTTAGTGGCTAGTGTTTCATGAGTGGATTTCATATTTACATACTTACTCTTTACATCAATATAGCAATTGTGTAACTTTTCAAACTCAAGAGCAAGTTCATCAAAAGTAATAATATCATCGTTATCGCATACCTCACTAGGGTTATCACCTAGTGGTATTGTACATGGAGATGAGGCTTCTTTAGAACTCAAAGTGGGATTTTCCAACGCTTGTTGAATGGCCTCCAATTTCCCTTCATGTGCTTCAATACATTTCCATAAGGCGCAAGCACTAACAAAATTAGCAAATTTGTTAGAATATGAAGAATGAAAAGCATTAATCAAATATTCTAAGAAAAGCTTGTTCATATTAAACAATCTTTTATCATTCTCACACCATTTAGATTTTTCCGAAATAGGAACAACATAGCCATCCTCAATAATTTCCCACAAATCGAATTATTTAGATTGAACAAATAGTTTGAATCTAACACGCCATTGAGCATAGGGAAAAATATCCAAATGAGGAGCAATATTAATAGCATATCCTAAACTAGATGAATCATACATATCCATAAAGATAATATGTAAGAAGCAAAATGCAATCAAAATTAGATTAGCACAAATACGATAACTTGGATCTTTAACTCAAGGTGATTAGACCTTAAATCAAAGAGCACCAAGCTCTAATACCAATTGTTAGACCCTAGGGGGGTGATTAGGGTCTTATGCTAATCTAATTCCAATTAAAAATTATATTGATTAAGTTAATCAATTTGTTCTTGCAAGAGATAGATATGAATAAGAACGATAAGAATAAGCACAAATGAAATATACGCTAAGAAAACACAAACATAAGATATGTTTATGAGGTTCGGTCCCCACGACCTACGTCCCCGCTCCTCACCTCGAGGAGATATCCACTATCACAATCCGGTTTGAAAGTTAGAACTTCTACACACTCGGTTTATAAGCTCACCGAAAACTCTCACACAACAAACACTATGAAATCACACTTTACACACTAAGTGTAGGAACCTAGCCCATGTCCTCCTCCTCAAGTGCTCGGATGCAACCTTTCCCTAGGTTCGTCAACCGACGCCACTCCTATTGGATTCAACCCCGTCTCTCGCCACACACTTCTCTCGGTGTACAAGTATATTACAAGTGATACTCACAAATAAAGATTAAATACAATGGTTTGTTCTCGAATAACAAGTGAGAACACAATGAAGCTCACACTCACTAATTCACACCCCACAAACCCACACTATATAGTATGAAAATATTAAGCTCAATATTGTGTGTGTGATAAATGAGAACAATGAAATTTAATTCAATTTAATATAGCAAGATATGAATATGAAATTGACAAATAAGCTATATAAAAGAGTTTAGATAAACTTCTCTATAAACACAAAGAACTGAAGAAATGATGATGAGGATGGATTCCTCAATTTGAATTCAAGGCTTCTTCTTTGTGAAAAACTGCTCTTTTGAAACAAAGCTTGAAACAAGGCACTAAACACCTCTTAAACACTTTGTAAACTTAAGTAATCAATTCTCTTGGATAGTTCAAGTGTTGAATGCAGTAGGGTATTTATAACAACCCAATACATTAGTAAAAACCCAAGTAAAAAGACCAAAAACCCATTAGAAAACAAAACAGTGAACTAGCCGTTACTGTGCAACGACTATATTTGCGGTCGACCGCAGATCCACGGCCGGTCGACCGCGAAAGGCAAACCCAGAGAGTAAGGTCTCTGGACAATTTGCGGTCGACCGCAGTGACACGCTCGGTCGACCGAAAACAGATATACATGAAAACTTCAGATTTGAAAATGGATTTTCAGTGCGTGTAAAAGTTAGCAAATGTTGTCCAACAAATATGAAACTTTGGGGAAAGCTTATAAATGAGAGAATAAGCATGTTTGAAAAAGGAATTGTTGGAAATGCAATTTTATTTTGTAAAAGCTCACTGTTTTTTAACAGTGTACAGAAAACCTGTTTTTCATAAAAATAAGAATTGAATTATGACTTATGAAATTGTATTTATATTTCATGAATACATTATATATATTATGAAGTATGATAGAGATGTAAACATGAAAAAAAACAATTCTAACAAAGTTTGATAGAAAATCATTTAAACAAACTTGTGTTGTGTATACATATTGAGCTTAAATAAAGTCATACAATATATGTAGACAAACCTCTCTTATACCTAGGTGATTGTCACATATAAACTTGCATCTTTAACTCTTGATATAGAAATCTTTTCACCATGTGTTGATGTCCTGAAAAGGAAAAATAAACCACAACCACTAGAAAACAAATTAGCTGTAAATTGTTTGAAAAATCATCATCAAAACCAAAGGGCCAACAATCATATGACTATTCGAACACCTACAGGGTCAACACCTTATGCATTGGTATTCGGAGATGAGGCTGTATTGCCACTTGAGGTATAAATTCCATCTTATAAAGTTGTAATCTATCAAGGGATTCCAGAGGATAAAGCACTAAAAGATCGCCTAGAAGAATTGGATGGCTTAAAAGATAAATATTTAAAAGTAAAACAAATTTTGGAGATGTATCAAGCTCGTATTTAACGAGCATTTGATAAAAAAGTTCATCATAGATCCTTTAAGGCTGGTGATTAAGTGTTGACTGTTGTTCATCCTATCATCACAAGGTGAACAAAAAGTTAGTTTGAACAAAAATGGGAAGGCCCTTTCATAGTGCAAGAGGTTTACTCTAACGAGGCTTATAAAAATAATTACACCTGATGGGGATTGCTCTCCTTCCCTAGTAAATACAAAATTTCTGATACGATATTATGCCTAAATGAGGCATAGTACTCCAAACTTTCACGCGTATAAACTGTAAGACACTCTAAACTTTTATGAGTATAAACTATAAGATAATCCAACTTTTAATAGTATGAACTGATAACTCCAAGCTCTTATGAGTATAAACTAAGAGCAACTCTAAACTCTAAGAGGATAAACCATGAGTAAACCTATTAGATAGGCATGGTCTATACAAGGTAAGAAAAAAATATTACTTTTCTCTTTCTACACTCGAAAAAAATTATTTTCTTCCCATCCCTTGGTATTTCGATGATAACTTTCTACAAAGAGCTTCAATTCAAGTAAAGTTACTTTTATACAAAAACAAACTCAAAATTTGATCTTTTTCTTCAAACAAAAAAGTCATTTGGAGTTTTCTAAACAAAGTTATAACAAAAATATATGAACCTATGTGCAATCTAGGGCAGACCAAAAATACAAATTAGAAAAATGGGGCAGCTCTGATGGCTCATTTTAGCAGGCGATCTCTCACCTGCTAACTTGCGCCACTACCGAAGTCAAATGGGGAAGAAGAAGAAGAATAGTGGAAGACAGTTGTTCAACATTGGTCTCCGAGCATCCAATTCAAGCTTGCTCTCACCTGCGGAGCAATCTCAGCTTAGATCTGATGATGATGATGAAAGTTCTCCAGGTATAATGGGTTCAACTGGTCCAAAAGGTGAAAAGAAGAAGAAAACAATGGCGGATATTCTTGATTCTTGCAACTCTCAATCTGTAGCTCCTCTAACTGGGGTTCAGGTACGTAGTCTGAGTAGATCTCTTACTTCTGGTGTGGAAACTTCATCCATGGTATCTTGGGCTGATGATCTTGATCTAGATCTAGAAATGGATTCTCCTCTTAATCCAGTTCTTTCACCTGTTAAAATTTCCTCTGCGACTCCTTTGAATCCTATTTTGAACTCTGGAAATAATAGTGCTCCTTTGAGAAGTTCTGGTATCGGTACTGTTCCATTGAATTTTGAAAATCAAGAAAATGCTATTAATTTGGAATCAGATAAACAGGATGAGATCATTCCACCACCAGTTCTTAATGATGCTCCAAAAGAGATTCCTAAAAGAAGTTGGGTCAGTTTTTTTGCTGATAATAGAAAACAGGGCAGTGGTTTAGATCTAAACTATATTCCCCCTGTATCAAAGGATGTGGTTTCTTTTAATGATGAAGAATGGAATAAAGGGGTTCAAATCTGGCAGTTCTCCCTTGTTGGTCAGGTTATGGGGTTGAATGTCAAATTTAAAGCAATGGAAGGTTTCATTAAGAAAGTTTGGTCTCCTATAGCTCTGCCTGAGATTAATCTTCTCAAATCTAGAGTTTTTCTCTTCAAATTCAATAATAAGGATGATATGAATAATATACTTTTATCTGGTCCCTGGTTTTTTGGTTCTCGACCAATGTTATTGAAGCCTTGGACAGTGGGGGAGGATTTTGAAAAGATGAAGGATTGTATCTATCCATTGTGGATCCAGCTACCAGAGCTAAAATTAAACCTATGGAATGCTAAGGGAATAAGTAAAATTTCTAGCACTATAGGCCATCCCATAGCTACTGATATGCTCACTGCTAATATGAAAAGACTGGCATATGCTAGAGTGCTTGTTGAAGTTAAAATGCCTTCTCCTCTCCCTGATCAGATAGCTATCAAAGGGCCTGATGGTTCAAAATATTTTCAAAAAATTATATATGAATTAAAACCAAGATGGTGTGATCACTGTAAAAATGTTGGGCATGATACTAAATTCTGCAAAAGACATTATCCTGTGCAAAGATGGGTCCCTAAGCAAAGAAATATTGCGGTTCAACCTGGTAATAAATCTAGCCTGGCTGCAGGTGAAGTCCTGGAGAAACAATTTGATGATCCTGTTGGTAATCAACATGCTGACAGTTAGCCTGGCTGCAGGTGAAGTCCTGGAGAAACAATTTGATGATCCTGTTGGTAATCAACATGCTGACAGTATTAGCTTGCATCCTCCTGCAGAGAAAATTGGAGTTGAAACTATGTCTATTTCAGAAGAAGTGACTCCAGCTAGTGAAATGAACAGTGCTGTGCACGTTGTGCATGTTCATCCTGTTTTGGAAATAAATAAGGGAAAAGAAGCTATCCTTACTGGAAACTCCTGGACTCAAGTTCATAGAAACAAAAGCAAAGGAGTAAATCCATTCTCTCCTCTTTCCAACTTGATATCAATCCTAGACCCCTCAAATATTGATAGGGGGGAACAAACCAATGAACCTGTTATTTTGGAATGTTAGGGGATTGAACAAATCCCCTAAACAGCATTTGGTTAAAAAACACCTTATGCAATACCATCTCTCTTTTCTAGCTCTTCTTGAAACAAAGCTGAAGCTAAGTAATGTCCAGGCTATTGCTAAGAAGATTGATATTAACTGGCAGTGGTTTTCTAATAACAATAATTCAGACAAAGCCAGAGTTATGATCTTGTGGGATCCTAATATTTTTGATGTCCATATCATCTGTTTTTCTGCTCAACATATCTCTTGTGCTGTCAAGTCTCTGGATGGAAGACTAAATTGCATCATTTCCTCAGTTTATGGATATAATCATGCTGATGCTAGGAAGCTGTTATGGAATGAACTCTCTCAAATTCAGCAAAATTTAGGTAATCTGCCTTGGTTGTTGTGTGGTGACTTCAATGCTATGATCTCTGATGATGAGAAACTGGGTGGTACTGCTCTAACAGAAGCTGATACCTATGATTTCAATCAATTCATTGATACCTGCCAGCTTTCCCATTTGAAAACCATTGGTTGTTTCTTTACTTGGAATAACAAACAAGATGCGGCTACCAGGGTTCTGAGCAGACTGGATAGAGCTTTAGTCAATGATCAATGGATAAATACTTATAATTCTAGTCAAGCAGAATTCCTTTTACCCAGTTTCTCTGATCATTCTCCTGCACTTGTTACAATTTTTGAGGATCAAGTGCATGGTAAAAAGCCATTTAGGTTCTTTAAAATGTGGACCAAACATTCAGACTATCTGCCTACAGTGTCTTCCATCTGGAATACTTCAATTGATGGTCACACCATGTTTTCTATTGTTTCAAAGCTTAAACTTCTGAAAACAGCTCTGAAGGATCTTAACAGAAGGCACTTTAATAATATCAGTGAGCAGGTTTTGAGAGCAAAAGCTAATCTGGAAAATGTTCAAAAGGCCTTATCATTAGACCCTCTTAATGATGCTCTCATAAGGCAAGAGAAGGATTATATCTCTTCTTTCAATAAGCTGTTAGATTGTGAGCTTTCTTTCTACCAACAAAAAGCTAGAATAAATTGGAATCTCCAAGGGGACAGGTGCACAAATTTTTTCCACTTTATTGTCAAAAGCAACAGGCACAAGAATAGAGTCATGGTCCTGTATAACAGCAATGGCATTAGAATTACTGAGGGTGATATGATTATCCAGGAGCTAATTTCTTACTATAAGACCCTGTTAGGATCATCAGTTCCTACTGTCCCTCCTGATACAGATATAATCAAAAATGGCCCATGTCTCAATGACCTCCAAGCCAGGGAATTAGCTAAGCCAGTCACAAAAGAGGAAATCAGGAATGCTATCTTCTCCATGTCAGATGAAAAGGCACCAGGCCCTGATGGTTTCAATGCTTCATTTTACAAATCTGCTTGGTCCATTATAGGAGATGAAACCACAAAAGCTATAGTGGATTTTTTCAAGTCTGGTAAGCTTTTGGGTACAATAAATTCAACTGCTATTACTCTTATCCCCAAGATACAATGTCCTTCAACTCCTGCTGATTTTAGACCTATCTCATGTTGCAATTGTATCTATAAATTCATCTCAAAGATTCTAGCTAACAGATTACAATCAGTTCTGGGGTTTATCATCAGTGAAGCTCAGTGTGCCTTTGTAAAAGGTAGGCAAATCCAGAACAACATTTTATTGGCTCATGAGCTAGTAAAGAACTATGGAAGGAAGCATCTGTCTCCCAGAGCCATGCTTAATATTGATATTAGGAAGGCATTTGACACAATAAATTAGGATTTTCTGGATAATATGCTCAGGGGCCTGGGCTTTCCCAATACTTTTGTTGACTGGATTATGACTTGTATATCATCTCCTAAATACTCCATATCTCTTAATGGCACCTATCATGGTTATTTCAAGGGAGCTAGGGGATTGAGGCAAGGAGATCCTCTCTCCCCTTACTTGTTTATCATTGGTATGGAATATCTATCAAGGGATTTGTGCAAACTGAACAATGACAGAGAATTCAAATTCCACCCCAAATGCAAAAGTCTCAGAATATCCCATCTAATCTTTGCTGATGATCTGTTATTATTCAGTAAGGGAGATGTTAAATCTGTCATGAAGATCTACCAGTGTGTCAGGAGTTTTGGTTCTGTCTCAGGGCTTGAAGCAAATCTCACTAAATGTTCCATCTTCTATGGAGGAGTTGATGACAGAACAAAGAATGATATTTTCAGTCTCATTGGTTTTCCTGAGGGGATTTTACCTTTCAAATATCTTGGTTTACCACTGATTTCTAAAAGACTGTCTTATGTTGATTGCAGTCCCTTATTCATGAAAATTTCAAACCAATTTCAGATTTGGTTGAAACACAAGACCCTCTCCTATGCTGGCAGACTACAAATAATAAAGAGTGTCATTCTTGGAGTGCAAATTTTCTGGACTTCCTGCTATATATTGCCTTCTAAAGTCCTTCAAAAAATTGATGATCTCTGCAGGGATTTTCTTTGGGGCAAGGCTGATCATAAGTTCAAAGCTCCGCTAGTCTCTTGGGATAAAATCTGCACAGGGAAGAAGCAAGGAGGCCTTGGTATTTTTTCAGCCACAAACTGGAACTTGGCTACTGCTATGAGAACTCTATGGTATGTGCATTCTAACAAGGAACTTCTGTGGATTAAGTGGGTTCATGGCACTTATTTAAAAACCTCAACCATTTGGCAAGTTGAAAGTAAAGCTAGTGACTCATGGCTATGGAAACAGTTATTAAAAGCAAGGGATAAAGCTGCAAATCTTTTTGGTGGGACTGATAACCTCATTTAGAACATCAGGTCGTGTTATATTAACTCCAGGATTCACCTTTCTGGCCTGTATAAGCTTTTATCCCCAGTTAACATCAGTGTTCCTTGGTCGGATACTGTCTGGGAGGTTTTTAATCTTCCTAAACACTCTTTTATTTTGTGGCTAACCATTCAAAATAGGCTACTCACAATGGATAGATTGATCAAAAGAGGGATCATTCAATCAAATATTTGTTCCCTGTGTGAAAGAGATGCTGAAAGCCATACGCATCTGTTTTTTGAATGTCATTTCTCTATGACAGTTTGGAATGAGGTAATGAATTGGCTCAAGTTCAAGTGGAGGACATGTAACTGGAGGATGCTTCTTGATTGGTATTGCAATAGATTAAGAGGGAGAGGCTTCAAATTGAAAGTGAAGAGAATGGCGCTGGCAGCAGTGGTATATAACATCTGGAAAGAACGAAACAATAGGATCTTCAACCAAAAGAAAAGAGCTCCAGAGCAGATAGTTAGAGACATAAAAATTGGCATGTACTCTGTCATCCTCAACAATCCTCTAATGCCGAATGAAGACAGGGATTGTTTCCTCTCCCTGTAGAGCTTTTTACAAATGTTTATACTTTTGCTTTCTTGATTTGTTTTTCTAGTTACCAGATCCCATGAAAATCTGTGTAATTTGATGTACTTAACTTTACATTTTTTGGTTTGTGAATAAAATCTTTCATTTACCAAAAAAAAAAAAAAAATACAAGTTAGTGTTAGTGCTCTCACATCATTTTATAAATAAAAAAGATCTTCAATAGCCTTCAAAGTCTAAGAGGATAAACTATGACTAAATATAATGCCACAAAGGCTTGTCCATCAAAGTTTAGTGAAAAAAAACTCTCTTGTGTACTCAGTAATGACTTCCTCTTTATGGAGAGGTGAAAGTATCAAATGCAAGTATAAAATCTTCATGTCTAACCTCCAATATAAATAAATAAGGTCTATTTAAAAAATAATTATTTCTTAAAGGATATTACACAGGTTAGAATAGTTTTTAAGGTAGTCAAAGATGCTTCATATTCGGCTTTGAGATGTTGTATGTTAGGAGATCTTTGTTGTGCTTGATGAAGCAATTGTATAAAATTTCCTTTTTTATCCAAGGCCTTCTTCAAACATGCTTCTACTGTGTCAATTGTTTTTAATTCGATTTCAAAAAACTCAATCTTCTTCTCTAAATTCTAGACCTTCTTTCTCCACTTTAGAATCTTTTGATTCAGATCGTTCTTGCATAATTGATTATGATTAAAGAGATAAGACTTTCCAATGATTTTAAAAATTCTAGAGAAGATACCATATCAGTATTTTCAGGCTTGGAGATCAACGCTTGCTGGAGTGCATGATACTTTATGGCAACTACAATAATTTTATCAAATGCTTTCCTTAACTTGCCACTCGAGTTATGAAGGGATCCATACAAAGCAATTTTATTATCTATTAATTTGATAAAACCCTCAAAGTCTTGCTTGAAAAGGACCTAAGGCTTCTGTTCTCAAAATTCTTTCACAAAAATGGGTACCAGTATATCTACAACTGAGCTCACAGAAGGGTCAACTGGTCCTTCATCACTTGTATCATCACTAGCATCAATAATTATTGGTATTAAGGTAGCCTCATCAGATTGTTTTTCATCAACTATCATCAAAGTACATGACTAGAGCAGCCTTGACATTGTACTTCTAAAATCTCATCTCTGTTCTTAATGTGATAAATTATGTGCATTTAGAGATGCTCAACTATAAAGGACAAAGATATAACTCATAGACCTTGTTCTTTGAATTCCTCCAAAAAGACTTGGGTAGCTTGCTCAACTAAATTAGAATTTTCGCTCATAGTATTGTTCATCTGGGGAACAACCATAAATTGGTTCTGTTGAATTGGAGTGCCTTGTTTTGATATATCTTCATCGCTTGAAAGGCTATCATTTGTTTTAGATTAAGTCCCATCTTCATCAGAAGAGTTGCCAAAAGAATTAGGTTCTTTGTAATCTTTGAAAGTATCAAGGCTCTTAGCAGAGGACACATTTTTATTAGTTATCTAAAGTAAATATAAAATCCTGATAAGTATATACCAAAAAAACTAGTCATGTGTATGGACTATCACGGGAATACAACCACCTTGTCTATATATTAAGGTTCTTAAGGTACAATTGAAGTAGGTATAATGTGATCCTCACCATCTTCAAAATCTACAACCACCATATTAACACTAGTGCTTTTATTTCTTAGTTGTGAGATGGAAGTTGCTTGATTGGCTTTTGATACTAAATCAGAAGAAACACGTTTACTTTTTCTTGGGATCATTAATAAAAGAGCCTTTTCATTTGGTGTTCTAAGTAGGTGTTATTGAATCCTCTAATGATGATGATGATTGTTGAAATTTTTTATAGTGATTAAGGTTTAACATATACCAAGAATTGATTAGAAACTTAGTTACACCTCATTTTGCTCAGAACAAAGAATATATAACTTCTTTGTTTCTTCAGCAAAGAATTCATGATATTTCTTTTGATACCAAATAACATAACCATGAAGAATCTTTCCTATTCGACCATCAAAAGGAATGATGAAATACTTGCCAGTCCCTACTCGAAAAACGAATCTCCAATAGCAATACATCTTACGTAAGTTTGGTTCAATACGTGCGCATGGAAAACCTGGATTAGGAACTCCTTAATCATAACAAAATTAGCGGGCAAAGACATGAGGATTATATGGTCCAGTGAAGAGCTTCTTTCCTATCCTGAGAGGAAGGATACCTTGGCATATTGAAAGAAAAAAATGAGGAGTGAGAGCTTAACATCTTTTGCTTAGATGAAACCATGAGGAAGAATGTTAGAGTGCATAAGGTCTCCACTTAAGTTTTTCATCATCACCTTCATGAAGAAATTGCCTAGCCTCTTTAGCAGAATAAGGGAATTCTGAAGTTTCTATTCCTAAAATTTGTAGTAAGAATGGAGCATTTGATTTATGATTTGAAGAAGGGAACTATATTTCAATTTTATCTTCAAGTAGCTGATCATATAAATTAGGAAAATATCGAGAAACCCATCCGATCAAATAATGAATAGGCCAAGTGCAAGACACTGCCAAGTGATCCGTAACCCAATAGTTGATTTCTCGATAAAGAGTGTAAAGTTCTAGAATGGTCAGTGAATAAAGTTTTCAATGGTCAGTCATTCCTGCAGCTACAACGAACACGTTGGGCCTAGATTAGGTCATAAGGAACTACAAATTTTCATAACATAAGGTGAGAAAAGCTGCAAGTGGTGTGTTCTTTCCAAAAGTTTTGAATTCTATTGAAAGACTTGCCCTTATATTTTCCTTTAGATTTGATTCGATGATGTTGCCCATGAAAGAAAAACTCTAGCCACATTTCAAAAGAGATGCTGTCTACAGGACTAATATCTCTAAGATATTGATAGCTATTTAGTAGCACCTTGAGAGGTTACCAATGTTTTACTTCAGCATCTTCAAGCTCTTCATTTGTGGGAATGTATTCATCATATACTAGTCCCTAAATAAGAAGACCCCCAATTCTCTCCATATTTAATAAATTGATAGAAAGATCTCCCTATTTAATATCAAAGATATTACGATCTTTATCCCAACGCTCTAAAAGAGATAGTACGTAGAAGCTAAAAGTCAATATTGTAAACTCTAAGAGATGAAAGTTGTTGATGTACTAGTAATCACATAGTCAATATGTATCTAGGGCAGGATGAGGTTGTTGAGGATTGATGAGGGGCCGCTTTCTTCCCTGACTTTATGTCTATTTCTTAAGTTAGGTATCTGAAGAATCTGCACAAGTAGAAATTCGTGAGAGGGCAGGGATTGGTTCCCCCATTGTACCTCAAACGATCAAATTAGTTGATGAACTTGAGTGGGGTCCAGAAAGAACTGTGTGTTCTTGTGTGCAGTAAGATGCATGCGTTAGAGGATAGAATCTTGGAACCACCTTAATGTTAGAATAGTATATGTATTTATACCCAATGCATAAGGGGTAGATTAGTCACTTCGGCCGAGCACAGAAGGGCAGTGGCGAAGTGTGGGCTGGCAGCTGAGTCAGCCTCCACTTTACAGGTGTCAGCTAGAAACTAGAGAGAGGGTTTTCTCAGCATTAGATGAGAAGTGAGAGGGAGTATGGCGGTGGCCCACGTAGTCCGATGAGTCATAAAGACTATTAAGGTTAGAGGCATGATGATGTTGTAGGCTGTCTAAAAATTACTATAGATAGCTGATCCTCATCAGTGTGAAGATAGAGAAGAAAGATGGTGGGCTCTAGAATCTTCATAAGGATTACAAATTGATGATCCTTGTAGAACTTGGGAAAATAGATTAAAATTGATGATCTCTTCAAGACCAAATGCGAAGGTCCACCTTCGTAAAGTCATACTCGCGTCCTAACAACAAAACGCGTAGGTCATTCCCACTTATCAATAACAAAACACGAAGGTCATTCCCGTGTTTCAACAACAAAATGCCTAGCTCATTGCCGCATTCCAAGAACAAGAAGCAAAGCTCCTTACTGCGTTTTCAGCTCAATACGCGGAACTCACCACCGCATTCCAGGTTCAAGATGCGGAGCTCATTTTAGAATATGAATCTCACGTTTGACTGGTTCAAACATGATCTGAACGGTTTTAAAACCATTTTCCACGAAATGGGGCCATTAAGCCCCCCTTATGGAGAGATTTACGGGGGTGGTTACACCCCATAAGCCCCTTTTATGGAGCAATTTAAGGGGGTTTAACCGTTTCAAAACGATTTTCCATTTAATAGGGCAATTAAGCCCCTATTAAGGAGCAATTTAAGGGGTGTAGTTACACCCTTTAAACTCCTATAAATAGCTAAGAAATCAGCTCAAAAAGGGGTTCAGATCTTAGCTTGGGATCTTTGGATCAAATCTTTGAGAGACTTCGGCAATCTGGGGGTTCGGATCTTCTAGTAGATCGATCGAAGAGAGAGAAGGAGATCAGTTGATTGGTAATTGTGGGCTTGGAGGATCGAATCTTGGAGAGTTTAGAGCATCCTTTAGAGCTGTTCATGTAACTTTCTTCTCCTTGTCTATAAACCGATTTCGATTAGATCAAGTCAACTCTTCTATAGAGTTTTAAACTCGTTAAGAGTTCTTTAACTCATTAAGAGTTCCAAACTTGCCTCATAAGTTTTCCTCAATGTCAAATCAAGAGGAATGGATCGTGTTCCATGAGTTGAAGCGTTCAGATCCTCCACGAGATATAAGAATCAAGCTCCTATCGATACCAAGAAGAACCCAGGTTTAAGCAAAGGGAAGGATCTCTGTTGATTCCTTCTCTTTTTTATAAATCATGAAACTGATATAGAAGAGTTATAATTTCTTTTTCTAAATCAGTTAGAGAGAGATTATAAAGAGATTGTATTCATTCTTTTTAAGTTAGTTAGAGAGAGATTATAGTGAGAGTTTGTATTTATTCTTTTCCTAAGTTAGTTAGGGAGATAAATACAAAATTTTATTCTTATTTCTTCTTCAATTTTCCCACAAACAAAAGATGACGACTTTGCTGGGGACTAGCTT